AAGACTCAGCTAGCTAAAAAAAAAAAAAAAAAAAAAAATTTGCAATACATGTACATGTACATATTTTTTTTTTTTTTTTTTTCCCCTTCTCCAACGCGTGCAAATGCATACACATGTGTTCGCATGCGGTGTGCGCATCACTGGAAGGGAAAAGTTGGATACGAAATTACCCAAACGGGGGAGCGAGAATACAAAAACAAAAAGGTTAAACGGGGTAAGGATGGGTTGGGGAGACCCCCTAGTGTAAGGAAATGCAAAGGTAACACCCCCCCTATATATATATTACACCCTAACAAAAAACAAAGGTTTTCTCTCTCTCTCTCTCGCCCTGTGTCGCTCACAGAGTTCATGTTCCCCCCGCGCAAACGCATGTTCATGCGCGCTTGGCCTATCGGCCTTATTCGTAGTAGAAGTGGCGGTACAGGATTCGCTGCTTCCCCCCCAGGGAGTCATAGAAGAAGTGATCGTTGAACAAGTTCGAAGGGACGTAATTGGAAGGAGAATTTACAAACGTTTGTTTAAACAGCCCAATGTCCACGTCGGCATGCGAACTATTAAACAGGTGTCCCATGAGAATGACAGCCAGGAAGACGTCCGTCGGGGTTGTAATTTTCATGTTAGGAAACCTTCCTTGTAAAGCAAATACTTTTTTTTTCGTAAAGTGTTGAAAAAGGGAAGAGGTATCGGTGAAGACTCTGCTCCCTTCTTTCACTTCCATTCCTGTCGCTGAAGCTAATTTTTCACACACCTGTAACAACGCTTGGCTGTTGAATATTTGTGGAGTCTGCGCCATGAATATCGTTTGCCTGTCCACGTTGGTTTTCACCCTAGGGCAATTGTCCGTTTCCCCCTGCTGCTCGCTTCGTGTTGTCTTAATGGTGTCTGTGGCGCGCGCCCCCAAAATGGCATTGTTCCCGATGGTGGCCATGTAAATTAGGTTGAACAAGTCCAGCTCCGACAGGAAGGGCCTCGCCCCGTCGTGCACCAGGATGTGCGACACGCGCGCATTGCGAGCGGGCTGGCCGCCATCCACTTCACTCACCACGCCCGCCTCACCCGATCCAGCGAAGTACCCCCGCAACAGGTGCGAAATGTACTCCCCGTTTTGAACCCCCAAGTCCATCCCCCGCAGTGCATTCAAAAGGGAGTCCACCCTCTCCGGGCCGTTTTCAACCAGCCGTATAAGCTTGTATCGATTCGAGTCAATATCGCTTGGCTTCACCTCGTCACCCGCATGTATCCCTTTCCCACGAACATCTTGCGCATTTGTGCTCATTCTGCATGCTTGCTTCTTTACCCCCCCACGGTGGTGTTGCCTCTTTTGTTCCATCACATCAGTCAGCAGCTCGTCGAAGTTGGTGATGAACTTGCCCTTCTCATTGTCGTATATTATATACTTATTCCTTTTTAAGAATTGAAGAGCTTGAATGGTATCCTTCTCCGATTGTATTTCCAACGAGGTCAACACATTCTTCGAGTGACCCTTGTGTAAGAAACCCCTCTTGTGTTTGCTCCGTAGAAGAGAAGCATTAAATCTGTTAATGCTGTCCATGGCTTTGTGGAAATAATTCGAATCACACACAAGACTAATAGACTTTATAATATTACACTTTACAAACAAATTAAACGAGTAAAGGAAAACTGGGATATCATTTAACATTAGGAATTGCTTTGGACCTGCCAACTCTGTTCTTTTGCCGATCCCTCCGCAGAGTAAAATTGCGTGAATGTTTTTTTTTTTCAACGACTGTTCATATGATCTGTACTCCTTTGTATCGTGGTGGTCTATCTTTGTGGCTGTCTCCAAGAGCTGGGGGTTATGCTTCTTCTCCGCAGTGTGCGCATTTTCTCCCTCCTCCGCTGCATGCAACTGTCCCCTTCTATCGTACTCACTTTTCTTCTTCCCCTCCTCGAAAAGGTTTACTTCGACCCGAGCAGGTGTAAAAAAACGCACTCTGTGAGCACCACCCCGCTTAGTACCCGTCCATTTGGTAACAATAAACTGCAGGGCGTTCACGTTCCCCCGTTGCGTAGCACAAACAGGAACATCACCTTTGAGGTCGTTCAGGGAAGAAGAAACTTCCCCCCAAGGCTGGTGGTGAAATATCCTCACGCGGTGTACCCTTCTAACCTTCGAACATGTTGGTGCGTGTTTCCTGTGAAGCACGTGGGGGAGGCACCCTGGCAGGGTAAGCAAATAATTAATTAACACGCACCACAGGGAGAAGCGGGTAAAGAGGCAAGTCATTAGGCGAACGCTCAACATGGCGTCTTTCATTTTTTAATACCCCAATTCGCCTGCGCAGTGGCGCTAACAAAAGGGGGTGAAAAGAACAAACGGCATCTATCAGGGCGAACAAGCCGCTCTAATCTTTTTGTTTTGTATTTTTCCACTCCTCGACACATGGCCACTACGGGTGCACATGCCTGGGGATTATTGCCACTGCGACAAGTCCTAACCAGTCTGCAAAACAAAATATTATTTTTGTCTCATTTTATAATTAGTCCGTATGACGTTCTTCCTCATCGGACAGCCAGCTCGTCACTTGTAGTGGGGTGTATATAAATATACTTGGCTCATTTCTCTTCCAGTATTTTTTCTTTAACCGTCATTTTGGTGTGACACAATGAGGGAGACAAAACATGGGCAATAAAAAAAAAAAAAAAAAAAAGACCTTCGCATGTAATGCAAGTGGAACGATAAGCAGGCGACGCGGGTACAGGTGTGTATGTCCCCCGTTTAAAAGGAAGAAACGCACCCTCTAACGTTGAAGCTCACGTTGGCGTGGATGTTGAGTTGACGTTGATGCTGATGTGGGGCCTAATCGAGGTTCGACCAAATCAACAGCGGGAAAGTAACAAAACTGTGGAGATGGCTCGGTTTGGAGGGAGGGGCACAGGCTCGCCTGTGTTCCCTACTTGGAGAGACGTTATGTTCTGGGCAGTGGAAACTGGTCCACACATAATGGTGAAAAAGGAAACAAAAAAAAAAAAAAAAAAAAAAAAAAAAAAAAAAAAAAA